CCATCAGACTTGTTTGGCAAATAGCCTTGGTCGTCCTTGTCCTAGACTGTTGGATTCAAAACTTATGTGCTCGAGGTCTCTGCATTTAGTTCTTCCAAACTGATTGGATGGTTCTACACAAGCCTTTAACACTATAAGCAAAATCCTATAAGCGAGTTAGTCTAGCTGTTCAGTTCTAGAAGAGGAAATGTTGCATCCCTTTATGTCGAAGACGAATGGAGAATCCATCATATATGAAACACATTCATTTAACTCAGGGTATCCTCTCTCTCTCTCTCTCTCTCACACACACACACACAATCTCTCTCTCTCTCTCTCTGTGTGTGTGTGTGTGTGCAGCCAACATTCACACACAGATTCATCCACATTTGTTCATTTGATACACAAAAACAAAGGAACCCCCCCATATATATATATATATATATATATATATATATATAAAATAAATCCTAAAGAGCCAGGAACTACCTACCTAGGTTTCACATAGATCTTCAGGGTGGGCCAAATTACCCTGAAGATCCGTTCAGGTGAAACCTAGGTAGGTAGTTACTGGCTTTTTAGAATTTATTTTATTTATCTTTGTTCTACTTAGCGTATTGATCACACCACGTTTAATCTTAGTTACTAGCTTGGGTTTTTTTTTCTTTGGACTGGAAACTTAACGCATTGGACGATTTGTTTCGACCTGTTCCGATGTTTCTAGTTCTTTCTTTGTTTTATTTTTTTTTTTCCTCGGATACCAATCTGTTTTGATATATTTGCAAGTTGTGCTATCCGAGTTTTACCAAGTTTTTACCTGTATAATTATTATATATATATATATATATATATATATATATATATATATATATATATAATAAGTCAAGCTTCGATTCATACAATAGTCCAAGTTAGGGAAACTCTGACCGAATGTGGAATTCACTCTGAAAGCTTGTTAACTTATACCTTTTTAGTGTGGTGGTACAAATATGCACAGGCTCATATATAGCATCCTTCGATCTCGAGAGGTCATTGGTTTGCACCCACACTGTTATGCTTTAACTGCTGATGGCGGCGTAACATCTGCTATGGCTGTGCCGGCCCACATGAGAGTGATAATCTCGATTGCAACGAATGCAGATGAAGACGCACTTCCCCGATGTCGACGTGTTTTCTCTCTGTCGAGCACGTTTCTCCTTGGCGGTAAGCTTTTGTTTCTCCACACCTCTCTTCGGCCTTCGGTGTAAATCGCATCTCCAGCGTGAGCGATCGTTGACGACATCATCACACATCTCGATGTCTATGTTTATCACCCTCATGTCTCTCAAGCGAAGACATGCTTCAAGCGAAAATGGGATCGTCCTCGCGCCCTGTTGCTAGTGGGCAGTTCCCCATACAGTAGCACCTCCGGAAACCTCTCATTTGTCTTACGGTGTTAATGTCCAAACCATTGTTTTTGGAGAAGGATGGAGAGGCTGCGTATCTGGACGCGTGTGAGAACTAAAGCACTGGTGATACGGTCGGACCAAATGATGTACAAAATGCGTCTAAGAGAAGTTGAAAGGCTCTGAAGCGTCACTTCAGTTTCGCTGAAGTAGAGGAACAAGCTGATGATGTATGCTCTCCAGGTCGCAAGACTGGGCAGTGTTTCCTGAAAGATCGGCAGTTTCACATGCAGCACGTCTTCCCTCTCCACACCACTGATATTATCCAAGTTAAAGGTAGATGCCAATACAACTTGACACCTCCGTCGTCGCAGGAGTTGCCAGATTGAAGTTGGAAAGATTATTGGACAGACTTAGGGTATTGCCGCAAGGTAGCAGCGGTTTAAAATCAGTGTCCTCCTTCTCTTATCAAGGTCATACTCACACACTTGTTTAAATTCTAAGAAGTGAATCTGCCCGATAAATATATTATTATACATCGAAACAATTACATATAAGCTTGTGCATACTTTTTTTTTACTGATATATAGTGTACATACATATATATATATATATGTGTGTGTGTGTTTGTGTGTATATGTATATATATATATAATTATTATTTATAAAAAAATTATAACATAAGTATGTTATAAAATCACTACAAAATAGCCATTTTGTAGTGATTTTATAGCATACTTATCTATATAATTTTTTTATAAATAATAATTATGTCTGCTCTACTTTGTATTGAGCACTCTTTTAAGAATAGTAATTGTTGATTATTGGAATTCATTCCGTATATACCAATTATTTACTGGCTTATATATATATATATATATATATATATATATATATATATATATATATATATATATATATATATATATTTTTAGGCAGTATACTTTCATTCAAACAGATTTTTTAATTTTTTTAATTTAGACATCAATGTTATTTCTCTTATACTGGGGGAAAAAACATATGAATTTTGAAATCTATAACGTTGCATAAGCAGTAAAATTAACAGTTGAAATGTTTTGAATTGCAGAAACACATGCACATTCACAGACAACTTAACACCGTGAAGATGGTCTCAGATGAGAGTGAAAGTACATGGGAAATAAAAAAGAAAACTAGAAAGGATCACATCAAAAATAAATCGACATGATATGTCTAAATTATTTAATCGAACCTGTTTTATATATATATGTCAGAGTTTCATTAAAAGCGACTGACAAGGTACTGCTATTTCCTTTCCTTGCCGGGACATGTAATTTAATAGATGTGTTTCATTAAATTTATAATGAAACTCGTATAAAAAAGGGATTGCTTCTCAAAAACACAATTATTAAATTACACAACCCTGCAGCCAGCAAGGTAAGTAAACGGTTGTACCTTGTCAGTAGTTTTTAATGAAACTTGTATAAAAGAAGGAATTGCTGGCCAAATACCCTATTTCCTATATATATATATATATATATATATATATATATATATATATATATATATATATATATATATTGTGTGTGTGTGCGTGCGTATAGAGAGGAACCGACTTTTCACACGCATTCACACAGTGAGAAGCACACACCCATATATATTGTTAGTTGCTTGTGTTATTGTGTTTGGTATGTAAATGCCTACTTCTGCGTACAAACAGAATATTGACGAATATGTACACTTGTGTGCACATACTCCGATATTAGTCTCTCTTGAACTTTAATTAAGCAAATTTTTATTCAAATTGGATGGCAAATTACTAAATTTAAGTAAATACAAAAACCTAAAATTGCAAGAACGAAAATTAAATAAAATTAAAGTTCAAATCGGATAAGCTATTTACGTGAAATTCGCAATTATTATTTAAACAGGTCTAATCGCCCGTCTTTTCTGTCTTTGTCGCTTTCCTACCAAATCATAAAAACAATGCGAATGACAGGAAGAAAATAAAATAAACAAAATGACAAATACAATACTTACAAAATAAAACAAAATGTCGAATTTAGCCAATTTTAGGTTCAGTTTTTATTCTTTTCTGGATTGATTGGATTATAATATTCCCGTTATTTGCAATTATTCGACATTCTATTTTTTCCCCTCTCATTATCTTCCAGAGAAAGAAAAAAAAAAGAATGGCGTGCCTTGCTCAAAATCGCGTCAAATTTCTTTCAGAAGATTTCAATTGAATAACAACTATTAGACTACATTCCATCCGGCACTGGTATTGTGTTCTCGTCAGGGTTCCAAATCTCGTGGCACCGAGAACTGAAAAGGTGTCGCGCATGACATCAGCACTACAAAAAACAAATATCACATCGATTTGACGTTTATCGTCTGATAAATTTCTGCATGTTAAAGAAGAAAAGAAATTTTCAGATGAGCGTATTTCCGTTGCATTGCCTGTCTGCTACGGAGGCAAGTTAATCTTTGCTACAGATGCCTGATGAGATACGTATGTGGTTCCTGAACATTCACAGAGCCAACATTTGGTTTATGCTGAAGCTATACTGAGTGGACCTTAGGTGCAGTTTCTGGGAGATATCGCATAATCTAGCGTGATCAGCAGTGATCTTTTTGTTTCTATTTTATCTAAAACTTTGTCGTTGCTTGCATGTTGAGTTCATGGCATTCTCAGTATCCTTCTGTAGAATCACATTTCTGTTGCCTCAAATCTTGTATTCATCTGTGAGGAGGTTGTTCAGTATTTGCTGTCATATAGAAAAACCGATATTAACATTTAAGTACTCATTTCCTTGCTTCTCTCGATATATTTTCCTATTTCTTAATACTTTGCTTAGCTTCTAGAAGGCACTGTTTGCTATACCAATGCACCATCGATTTTCGATGTTGCATTTTCTGTCGTCTGTTAAAACACCGCTTTGATTTTTAAATTGTTGTTGCTTGATTTTGGCATCCACAATTTGTAATTCGCATGTTGGTCTTATATTCTTGCTGATAACCTTGCATTCTATCTTCTTACAATTGATGTTTAGTCCCTTTTTCTTGCTTTCCTTTATAGCTTCTGTACGAAATTCCGTATTTTCCTTTCTGTGTCTGCTATTAGCACAGTGAAATCTATATATCTAATGCACCAAGATACGTATGTTCTCTGCTAATAATGAATCATGGTAGAAATTCAATTTCTTTCAGAATCTCCTCACTGTAAAGGTTGAAAAAGGTCGACAAGAAAACACATCCTTGCCTTAAACTCCTTTCTGTTTTTGTATATTTACTAAATTCATTTTCTATCCTTATGCTGCTGACTGTTTCTTCCTGATACTATGGGTTCTTTTTGCTTCAGTTTTTCTTTAAAACATGGTCGTTGCTCACATGTTCTGCCCAGTGTATTCTCAACATCTTTATGTAGAAACAAATTTCAATTGCCTTAAGTTTGTCTTTATCTGTGAGAAGCATTCACAGCCATACAGGACTAATATTACATAACACTTAAGCACTATTTTCTTTGTTTACAAAAAAATGTCTGTTACTTTTTTCTCTTAATCTTTCTGTTACTTTTTTCTGTTCTTTTTTTCCGATTTCCTTTTTTCTGTTTCTTTTTTGTTTCTTTTTTGTTCTTTTTTCTATTTCTTTTTTCAGTTTCATTTTCGGTTCCTTTTCATCGATTTTTTCAGCTACTTTTTCTATTTGTTTTTTTTCTGTTTCTTTTTCTGTTTCTTTTTTCTGTTCATTTTCCTGCTCCGTTTTTTTTTGTTTCTTTTTTCTATTTCTTTTTTCTGTTTCATTTTTGCTTGTTTTTTTCTGTTCTTTTTATCTGTTTTTTTCTGTTCCTCTTTTTCTATTTCTTTTTCTGTTCTTTTTCGATTTCCTTTTTTCTGTTTCTTATTGCCGTTTGTTTTTTCTGTTTCTTTTTTCTGTTTCTTTTTTCTATTCCTTATTCTGTTTCTTTTTTCTTTTTCTGTTCCTTTTTTTTTCTATTTCTTTTTCTGTTCCTTTTCTCTGTTTCGTTTTTTGTTTCTTAATACAGTGGTTCGATTTTGGAATCATCATTCGCTAACGTAATGTTCCTTCGTATTTTGTTGCCGCACTTTCCATCCTCGATTAATTAAAACACTTCCAAGTTATTTAAATTTTGTATTTGCTTGATTTTGGTAATTCCAATTGGAAATTTGTATGATGGGCTCTTTCTTTTGCTGACAACCATATATGTTGTCTTCTTGCTATTGACATTTAGTCCTTGTAGAAATCAGTGCAGAACCTACCTAACGAGCTTGTATGAATGGATGGTTGAACAGTCTTTAAGAGAAATATCAAAAAGACAAAATCTAGTAAGAGCTACAAAAGACAAGAAATTGTGGGAAACCATAATCGCCAGCGTTCTGAATGAGCATGGCACATAAAAGAAGAAAAAGGAAAAAAGAAGAAGAAAAGAAAAAAAAAGAAACAGCAGCAGCAAGTTATAATGAATACTAGTTTAACGCCAAAATATGAAAAATTAATTTTACAATAGAAATTTGTATTTTACAAAGAAGTTTAACAGAATCGCTCTTGGCACCGCTATTACTGTATAGCCCCTCAGTATTCTCTTTTATACTTTAGAAATTATTTTTAGAATTTTAATAAAGCCATAATATACATAAATGTGTTTTTTTTGGCTCTCGAGATATGAGAATAAAAATGTTAAATGCTATGTATTTATTCAGTTGTTTATTTACAACATTAGTAACTTATGAACTGTAATTGACCATAACTATAAAACAAAATTCCTTCCTTTGATATAAACTAAATTTATATGTGAACAAGAGAATAACTCCTATTCAAAATATAGAAGAATAAAGCCAAAAGATGAAGATCAAAATGAGACAATATGGACGTCAAGTTGAGCAAGAAATCATCAGTGTAAGGGTGCCTTACAATACATATTTGTTGCAACAATTCAACTGTCATATCAATGTTGAAATGTGCATATCAATTCATTCAGTCAAGTGTTACATCAAATATATATGAAAGAGATCAGATGAAGCTATTTTGCATAAACATTCCACTGAATTTCTTTCCCCTTTCATTTAAATTAATTTTAAATTTGAACAAATCCTAAAAATATAGAAGGAGAAAATCAGAAGATGGAGGTCACATTGGCAAGATCATTGAGTAATATTGAAAGACATCATTTTTCTTCATAGATTTTAAGAATAATTTAAAATCAATCATTATTTTCTTACAAAAAATGTGTGACACGCAGTAAAAGCACGAGTAATTCGGCTAGTATATATATATATATATATATATATATATAGAGAGAGAGAGAGAGAGAGAGAGAGAGATTTAAGTTATTGTATATTTATGGCTGATAGTGCCACATATCCCAGATAGAACGTGTTTAAATATCAGAGTGGACGCTGATGTCAGCACCGAATGTTGACAGACTGCTTCATGCTTGAGCACAATCTTTAGGCCATATGTTCGGTAGTAACCTGAAAATTCATATATGCTGCTTAATGGGGGATCATGGTTGCAAGTCAGTAGCTATATAACAAAATAATGCGGAAATAACAGATATTGCTCTCCATCGACCAGTATATATATATATGTATGTGTGTGTGTGTGTGTGCGTGTGTGTGTGCGCGCGCGAGGAGGTATGTAGAAAAATAGGAAAGAACACGTTAGGTAAATAAATTCCAGGGTTCTTTAGTATTTTTGTTTTTTTTTTTTAAAAAACAGTGCTCCATACAGAAGTAGAGCTTAAATTATACTTATTTCTATTAAAATATGATTCCTTCGCTACATAAGTTCTCATTTTTCAAAAACGAGAGTCGAAACCATCAATAGAATTACTAAAATTAAATTGAATTAAAGTAACAAGCGCTGTTTCATCCTCAAGCGAAAATTTAGGAATAACCAATATATATATATATATATATATATATATATATATATATATATATATATATATAGTCTAGCTAATATCAAGCACACATGGCCTGAAGATGGCGTTCAAACATGAAATAGACTGTCGCCACTGGGATGAGAACAATAGTCCGATCTTAGTGACCACTACTATTTACTTATATATTTGTATATATGCATGTTTGTAAGTATTTATGTGTGTTTGAAGTTGGGTAAAGAAAACAAAATTATGTAGGATTTTTAATATTTTCAGCAAACAACAGAAATTTACGACATCCTCTGGGCCATTTCCTGAAAAATTATTTTGCTTGTGATATTTTATAAATGCCAACCGACAATTGTTCGCGCAATGAATACTGAATGTTTCCTTATAAGGAAACGGCTAATATTAGCATTACCATTAACACATGAACCAATTTTATTATTAAGAAGATGATTAGAATCGGCGTCGTATTCACACTGAGAGACCCTGTGCTCGCAATAAATGGCTGTTGCCACAGCAACAGTAGAAGTCTTAAGTATCTTTCTGTGAAATAGAATCGGTCGAGATGAGGAGAACGACGACTGTGGTGGCGTGCGTTCTCTTTGATGGCGTTAAAATGTAAGGACGGGTAAAATTATAGATATTTCATCGGCGTTAATTTCAATGTTCGCTTATTTACCCGGGGCACTGGGCATGGTTACCGAACGGAACAGGCAGCAATTAGCGACAGATGAAAAATGGAGAACGGTTCCGAAATTTCGCCCTTGAGAAACTCACGGCAAATGCGCGCTCGTTTCTCTCACTAACCTCTCTCCCTCTAAATAACAACTCTCTCTCTCTCTCTCTCTCTCTCTCTCTCTCTCTCTCTCGCCCACACTCTCTCACTCGCTCTTTCCAACTCTCTCAATCGCATTTTTTTTCTTATCTCTCTCTATCTTTGTCTCGTGCCGTGTTACTTTTTGATTCTTTTTTTTTTCTCAATCACTTCACGCCTAAATCTGGACTTCATTACATTTGCAAGTCCTGGTTGCAACTACTGTCTTGCAAGCAAGCAATTTCTATTCTTTACAAACTGCTTTTCTCGTTTCTCTTTTGA